CTTAAACAAAAATATATCTTCTGTTATTTTAATTAAAAAGAGTGGACTAAAGTACTTTTCCAGTCTCGACTCTTGTGAACAGTTTCGTTCTTGGGCCGCAGGTCCAAATGTCGGCCAATGAGAAGGCAGGGAAGTAAACTCCCTGCAGCCTCAGAGGTTTAACACAAATCTGCAGAACAGTCGCTGCTGCTTCCAAAGCTTAGTCGCTGTTATGAACGCAGTGGAAAACATCAGTGTTTTATTTAGCCTCTTTATTCTGTCATCTGAAGTTTGGGCGACTTTGTTTAAACAGAATTCAGCAAGTAAATCAAAGTAAAAGTGGAAAAGCAGGGAAGTAAAAAAACATGATTCTAAAAAGAGGAAGTGACGTCCCTAATTCTGATGAATTCCAAGAAATAGTTTGAGGCTCATGAAAAAACAATTCATGTATTATCTTGGTCATGAGATCTGGAGGTGAAATACGTTTGTTTTCTTTCTTTCTTTCTTTTTCTGTTTGTTCATTAAACCTAAAATAATTCAGATAAATAAAGCTGCTGTAATTCATTGCCCCATACTGATGAAGTAATAGTATAAAATATAGTTATTTCAGTAAATTATAGTTTAAAAAAGTAATTTTACTCTCCACTGTTGTTTAAAAAATATATATGACACGACACGTCTCTATTAGGTTTTTAAACTCTTGGTGATCAGAAACAAAACCTCTAAACCTCTCGTGTCAACCTTCGCCTTTTTCCCTCCGCTCAATCTTCCCCGTCCTCCTCCTCTTCCTCTCCGGGTCTGAAGTTGATATTGAAATGATCTCGAAAGCTCAAAACAAAATGCGAGTAAAGCTAAAATAATGGTCTGTCGCCGCATGTTTGTTTGTCGAAAAGATAATTGTTGTCAGATGAAAAGGCCTCCTCCGGCTAACAAGGCAGCTCTTCAGAGACGTGAAGGCACCCAGAGACCGCAAACCTCCGTCAGCGCCGAGCAATCCTTCAATGCGCTGCTATGCATGAAGACATCACTCCTACCGCGTTAAATTAAAATCGAATGGGTTTCTTGACCCCGCAAACGTGACCTTAGGATGTAGAACGAAGCCGCTGAGCTGTCATGGCCCAAAATGAAAATCTCTTTGTTGCAATAAATTTTTAAAAATGCAGAGTTCGTGCACCGCAGAATGTTTTAGCGTCTTTCAGCTCATTGTTTTGGTTTTGTGGCCCTCGGCTTCGCTGGTTAAATACGTCCTCGGTGCTCTCGTCAGCCTTCATGCAGCAGCAGCAGATGGTTTCGTTGTTGGCCCTGCAACAGACAAACAGCAGACAAACAAAGCTGGTCACCATAGAGGAGCATCTTCTCTGCTAAACCAAAGCTTTTCTCGTCATCCGTTTATCCGATCTGCTTCAGATTTTGCAGATGTGTTGCTGGGAATCTGAGGAAGTGCAGTTCGGTGTCAAAATGCCAATGACAACATTAACTCCACCAGCGATGAATCCATGTCACACCCAGCGTCATACCCAAGGGTGGTATTTAAGGGAAAGAGATGATGTCACAAGCAGTGATTAAATTAATCTGTGTGTCCGTTTGAATTTGACGTCCAGAGTTTTTCTAATCAGGTGTCTGACAAATGAGGCCTGTTTATATTGTTACATGGAAATTAGAGAGTTTATGTGGAAACTAGATAATGGTGATTGAATAAAATATTGAAATATTAGTAGATATTTTCGGGATAAATTAATCAAATGATAAAATGATTTTTTAAAAAAACTTTTCCAATAATTGATAAATTAGTTGTGAGTTGCTTTTAATTACATGAATCAACTAATTAATAAGCAACACAAGCATTCATCTTTTTTTATTTTTTTATATATTTTTTTAAAGTTTTGTGCACATCAATGAAATCTCGGCTTTTAAATCCAACCGGGATCCTTTCAGCCTTTACATCAACGGGGATTTTTAATGCAAGATTTCATCCAAAATGTTGAAGCGTTCATCCATTAGCTCTCTGAACCCCAAAACCCAGCAGCAGGTTGGAACGGCATGTATTGTTTAGAACAATTTCTAAAATCAAATCCAGTTTATTGTCATTTTGCTGCACATACACAGTAGTTCAGGCAAGATGAGAGAGCGATTATTCAGGATTATTCAACCAGCAAGTTTTGTGGAATGCACGTCTGGGACAGAGACACTAAACGTTTGCTGTCGCTGTCTCCTGAAGGCGTCCATGTGCGCCGCCGTTCACCATGACACCGTTTATCAGAACCATAAACAGAAAGAATTGTCAGATTTTCTATTGTCCGATGATTCTCGAGCTGCTCATCGGTGCTGTTTTGTTAGAAATCAATGCTTAAAACTGTGAAGAACAAGAAGTTCCAACCGTGAAGCCATTAGTGACTCAGCAGTGGTCGACTATCTTCTGACTAAAACTAAGAGTTCTCAGGTGAACTGCAGGCTGTGTTCACTCAGAGGAGAGAAGGGACAAATATGAAAAGAAATGTATAAAGTCGTTAAATATATTTATACTGTTTAGAACCACCTTGCTTTTTCACCTGGAAACTAAAAAAAAAAAAAAATAGTGGGTATACTGGATTTCAGGTTTTTTCAAATAAAAAAAAAGTCATTTTTTTGATATCTTAAAGCATTCTGAATGTGTTTTACTGCACAGAGGACATGTTTGAATTCACTTCTATCCATGGTTGTGATGTTTGCATGCCGATGCAGGAATTTATGTTGTTGTAAAAATAATAGCCTACGGTGAATAAATATGAGACAGGAGCAAAAAACATAATAAAATGCCCAGAAGCTGCTTGTTTCTAATAACATCACATTGTCCCAGACTTTTACTGTACATCACTTTTCCCAGGCAGCAGTGCAAAACCCCTAAATATATGCATGTTACTCTCAAATAAGAAGTCTGTTAGAAAGTGATGTCTAAGAAGCTGGAATGAGTCGATGTTCTTACGTAACCACCCGTTCTGTCTCGTCCTCCTCCAGTAACCACAGACCCTCCGTCAGGTGTGACCGTCAGTCGCGTTGGCCAGTTGGAGGACCAGCTGAGCGTTCGCTGGGAGGCCCCGCCCGCCCTCAAAGACTTCTTATTTCAGGCCAAATACCAGATCCGCTACAGGTTGGAGGACAGCCAAGACTGGAAGGTAAAGGACAAGGACACATGTTAGCTGCTCCCTTTGTCTCTCACACACCAACAGATATGTAACTGCAGTACACTGTCACCAGCTGTTTCTCATCCTAATGCTGTAATCACCTCTAATCTAGTCTGATTGAGAAGAGTTGGGCCGGTCAAAAAACTCTCATCACTCATAAATCTCCAAGTCAGGTTTTGATCTGGAAGAAAAACGAAGGCCGAAGCCACCGTTTGTACCTCGAATACAAGCCTCTAATGAATGAAAAACACAGTGTGAAAGCTTCAGCCGTGCAAGATGGTGCTTCCCAGAAATCATTTTCCTCTGGGTAAGAGTGAAGATTCTCCTGTAATTAAGGGGGAATTACACCGATGTAATATAAGCAAGTCTTGACTCGCAAAGTGGAAAAAGAAAAGGAGGGGAGTGGAGAGGCGGCGGAGGGATGATACCGTCTCGAAGGAGGAGAGAGAGGAGACTTTAAATCCGAGTGGCTTTAAGGGTTCGGTGGTGAAAACAAAGCGCCATTTCCCTCTGAACCGGCCCTAATCATGAGGTCATGCTGAGGAATGGAGGGATACATCTCAGCTGTTAATGTCTTCAATATGGCTGTAAAAGACGCTCAGCTGTAACTTCTGCCTATTTGGCTTCCCCAACATCACGTCGTTAGCCTTCTGATGCCTGTAATTTCCGAGTTCTGTTTTCTGCTGGAGTCCTTCTTAACAAGTGTTTACAGACCGGATGCCAGAGAGAAAGTGAGGATTATTAGACAAGATTATTAACTGTTCGCTTCGTCCTCTCGCTCTGCAGCGTTTTGCCTGTTTTTCCGCTGTCTGTCTGTCTGTCTGAGTACCTGTATGTGTGTTCCAGCCAATCCGGCTCTGTAATAAATAACACAGAGCAGATTTTACCCAGGAGGCACGGTTACATTAAAATAGTTTCATAAACATGCTAATCAGGAGCCACCAAACAATGTGGTGTTCATGCATGTTTGGGTCTGTGCATGGTTTGCGGTTGTGTTTTCTGCATCTTGATCCTGCCCTGTGTTACAGTTCATGCCCATTGGTATTTAATACTGCGGTCGGACCTCCGGCGCTCAGCTTCTTCCGTGTTTGTGTCTTTGCTGTAGGTGATGGATGATGTCGGGAACCAGACTTCGTGCAGGTTGGCCGGACTGCGACCTGGAACCGTGTATTTCGTCCAGGTACGGCGAACGCAAATGTGTGTGTTCTGAGTTTCTAATAATGAGATTTGGCTGCTGTTAATTCATGTCGTATTGCGTCCAGGTTCGCTGCAACCCTGTGGGCATCTACGGCTCTCGCAAAGCTGGGATCTGGAGCGAGTGGAGCCACCCGACAGCTGCTTCCACGCCCCACAGTGGTGAGTATCGACAATCCTCGAGCATTTTTGGTCCCTTTCAGCAGCAATTTGTCGCGTTAAAAGTTGCTTCATGTCATGCAGTTGCTGGAAACCGGCTGCCACACAGGAGGTGCTGTTTTCTTGTTTTCTGAGTATTTTAAAAAATAAGGCAGCTCAATCAAATGGAATTAAATCAGCTCAAATCAAATCAAGAATAAACCCAAATCCAATCATTTCTAAACCAAACATTACAAAGTCAGTAATCTGTTTAAGCTGCAGTAGGTTGCAACAGGAATCATGTCTGTATGATGTCGTGCCCTTTGCCGCGCTGGATGTCTTAGGATTGCGGGCGCTGGTGATTGTTGCCTCCACAGACATAACTGCTGCGTAAAATGTTATCGTAGCTGATGGGAATAAAGACCGCAACTATGAAAACAAACGCCAGTTCATAAAAACCTGAATTTATTTCTGCAAGGGTTTCTGGGAGGGCAAGCTTTTATAAAAGAAAAAAAAATAAGCAGCACAGCGATCAGGGCAAGAAGGAGAACATTCAGTTCTCACTTCTTTCTTCTCTTTAAGTTTGTCTCTCTGGCTTCTCCTTTTCCTTGAACTTTGATAGCGAGCGGTTTTTAAGGTACTTGTGCATGACTTGATTATCTTACTTTGCTATTAAAAGACTTTACATGTCTTTACTGAATGGCATCAACCCCAATTATAAAAAGCCTCACGATTCAAACACTATAAAGCATTTTAAGATATAATATTACAGCATCAGCAGTAATGGCTCTTTGCTTTATAGTAAGAATGCAAACAGAGTGAAACAGTAGTTTCTTACCTTTCCTGTCATCTTTAGGGACATATATTGACTACATGAGACAAACATGTGTCAAATCTCCGTCCTGCTTGTTCGTCCATCATTTGAAATTTGGCTGCAACACTTTGAATGACATCATCTTCTTCTGCAATGATTTAAAAACACAAAAATGGGAAATTATCTCAACTACTACGAATAATTCTTTTCATTTGTTGTGCAAATTTTTCTGCGACATGGTTAAAAATTTGTGCTTATTTTGGATGAAAACCTGATTTAAGCATCTGCGTGATGGGCCTAAAGAACCGGCCTTTTCTTTGCCTTTAATCACGCAAGCCAGTGAAACTCATTATCCGTCCCCCTCGCTGTTTATCTTTCCTGCAGAGCGCCTGATGTCGGGCTCCTGTGACTCAAAGTCGAGCGGAGACTCCAACTCCACCCTGCGCAGGGAGCTGAAGCAGTTCTTCGGCTGGGTGCGGAAACACGCCTACGGCTGCAGCAGCATGTCCATGAAGCTGTACGACCAGTGGCGAGTGCTGATGCAGAAATCCCACAAAGCTCGCAACCAGGTAGGTAAGCATCGCCAACGCAGGGATGAAGCACACACATTCACACAAAACTGAAAGCAGCCCCTTCTGCAAAAAAAAAAAAAAGCTGATGTCTAATGAAATGTTGTTTTTTATTTAGGTTCTCCAAGGGGATAAATCATAGCACATGCTGGTTTTTCGAGCAGAAAACAAGTCAAGAAAAAGAACTGAGTGGATGTGATCTGTTTTTTTTTTTTTTGTCGATGTGTGTGTGTGACAAATGAGGAAAAAAAGAGACTGTATTCGTATAGTGGAATTATAAAGACAATTTGCTGCAGACATCTTGTGTGGATACCAGCTGTGGCTGCGAGAGGACGCCCAGAGGAGAAAACAAAAAAACGGTGGGATTTTCTGCCTTCTGCATCTTTTGCAGTCAATATGAGCACTTGAAAGATGTGCAGCCGGGACGGACTGAGAAGGCGAACTCATCATGGACATCCTGGTATCGTGGCGTGGCGAGGAAAGGGACCATGTGGACGACTCCGCTCTCACAAATGATATTGTAGCATGAATAACCCGGACTTTCTGTTTGTTCTAAGCGTGCACAGAGGTGATCAAAACAGATTCAAACCAACCAGAAGTTCGTCCAAAAGTGTTCTGAGAAGCTTCTGGGTTTCTCCTGTGGATCCAAAGCACCATCTAGTGGCCGCTCAGCATCCGTGGAAACTCCAATCCAAGCGTTCACAAGTTTATCACACAGTATTTCTTAACTCATGCTTTTGTTACATAGGTGGATAATTTGCCAAACTGGTTCGCTCAGGATTCGTCTGTTTCTGTGTGACAGTAAGTGACTGATGCCATGTTTGTGTACGGAAACATTTCACTGCGTTTATTTTTGTACTGAATTGTACCAGCATATTTAAAGTATAAAGTTATGTTTTAATTTTTAAATTATGTTTAGTTAGTAAAGACTGTACAATGACTGAAGTTGTTATCAATCTCTGATGATGTTCTATAAATATATATGTATATATATATATATAAAAACAAATGTTGCCATAAACAGCAGGGTTTGGAAATCCGTTGTTACAGTAGCAAATCAGAGACGATGGGAAAGAAAAGAAAAAAAAAAAAGCACGACTCGGCTGCTTCTCATTTTGGTCCAAGCTGAAGTGTTTCCACACAGCGAGCTGAGTGGACAAAAACAACAAATATCAGCATGTGGAATCAGGACGACTCTTTATTTATATCTCACCCCAGAAATAAGCACATGGTCCTGTGTGTGTCTTTGAGCATTAATATCCTCTTGCAGAACAGAACAACCACGGGGGATTTGCTGCTTTCAATATTCTCTGTATGTTGTGTAACAAGAGGTTCAGCATTTAGGCATTAAAGCAAAGTTGTAGAGAAATCTTTACGAGACGCATGTTTTGAAAGATTTCTCCAGAAACACCAGAATCTATGAGTTACAACAGTTTTCTGTGGTATTTCGTTGTAGTTTGCTGAGTCAGGGTGTCGCTGTCGCTCTCTGCAGATTAGCGCACACCTTGGCAGCCAGCATCAGAACACAAAGTGAACACAAGCGGCTTAAAAACCCAACACACCCAGTGCAACAACTGTTCTTACTTAACATGTCTGATCAGGACCACATTTGATTGTCCTGCACTCTTTTATTGGGTTTTTTTTCCACCTGCAAAGTTGGGATAAGTTACAGCTTTTATCATTGCTTTTATTAAACTGAGACATCTATATGGGTTTGCAAGGCCTTCACACGGCACATTATGGGTCCAGAACTGCAAAAAAATCCACACTGTGACAGCAGGCGATCATGCACACGATGCCAAACGTGTTCAAGAATTATGGCAATAACAGAAATTGCAGCCCAAACTTAAAGTATTTCAACAAGCATGTAATAATTGGTGCCGCAATAGCTCAGTAGGTTGAGCCGGCACTCCCCGTATCGGGCAACGGTCCCGATGCGGAGGTCATGAGTTCGAAGCTGGCTCACGGCTGTTTCGACCTGTCCAGGGTGTCCCCTGCCTTCACCCTAAGTCAGCTAGGATAGGCTCAGCCCCCCCGTGACCCTCGTGAAGATTAAGCGGTGTATAGATAATAGATGGATGGATGCAATAATTGAACCATATAAGGAATGTCAAATTATTTAAATGTCTGGAAAAGTTGTTAAGTAGGAAAATGTTTGCAGGTATCAACAGGAGTATCTGGGACCGAGGAATCAGTCTAAACCTCACAACAAAATACAGCCTCTAAATCTATTTATTCCCTTCTTCAGCGTTGTCCTAACAAACCACCAAACGCCATTCACTGTAAATCTGTGAACGAGCCTCTGCTAACTATCTGAAAACCTGACTTCTGAGATAAACAAAAAGCTGACACCTCTCTTGTAAATCCAGGCTGCATCTCCTCCCTCCACAACAATGAGCTCCACCTTTGAACACTGCTTGCTGCATTGAAACCTGAGCTATCAGTCGTGTTTCCTGTCAGGACCCACCTGAGCGGCGAGTTCTTCTCTTTCTGATGACACAACAGAGTCTTGTTACTGCGCTTGTGACCAGTCAGTCACTGGTGCTTAATATTTAACCAGTGTGGGCTGTTTTTCGTGGTCATGGCTGTGCTCTAAAGGCTTTAGTTACCTTCAAGAATTAGTAGAATAAGAGATCAAGAGGAGGGAATTTCTCTTTTTTTTTTTTTTTTGACACTGGAGATCAAACATCTTCAGTCAGTTAACCTTCCTCTGGGCTTTTCTGGCACTGTTCAGATGATGTGTGGGTGCTAACCGAGCCGTCCAATGTGGCATACAGAGGAGATTTTTTTTTGGCTGCACACCCGTTCTTAGGTTACAAAATCTTCTTCAATCGAGACACAACTTTTCATGCATAAAACACTTTTAAATTTATTTTTTGGCAAAATATACAGCATATTAGTAAACCAATCTTGCAGATATTCTCTTGTTTTATTGGCTTATCACTAAATTCCAGCAAGTTTCTACATCCAGGATGATAAATACTGTTAAAGTCCTGGCAGTGGGGGAAGAAGTTTGATCATTTATGTAAGTGGAAGTAGCAGCAACACAAAAAAACTTTATGACAAGAAAAAAAAAATCCATTTAAAATCCAACTTAGGTGATAGTGTGTGCACAAGTAATTTCAGAATCAGAATCAGCTTTAATGGCCAAGTACGTACACAACATACAATTTGGTTTCGGCTGTTGGTGTCGCCCTGGGAATTTGCACGAGTATTAGAAATAGGAAAATTAAAAAATAAAATAAAAATAAAGTAAAATAACTAAAGAAAGAAAAGAATGAAATACAATAAATATTAATAAAAATAAAACAAGATAATAAGACAAATATATACAAGAATTTACACATCTAGTCGAAAAAAGTTATTATTATTATTACAGATTATGAATTGCACTGAATTTATTAAGAAGTCAGAAAAGGCCCAAACATCTTATGTTTTAGGACAGCAGCAGGTGTATTTTATCTGATTCTGATGCATTTCCTCAAGAAATCTGGTGTATTAAAAAAAACAAATAGGTGCATCAAAAATCTGGGTTGCAGCACAGGTAATAAAGTTTTATTTGGCCATATGGGGAGCCGGTTCTATCTATGTATGAGGGTATTTTTTAAAAAGGGTTTGATTTTTGTGAGAGTTCTATAAACTAGAAAGCATTTTTAGCCCTTTCTTATTTCAGTTTTAATCAAAATTAGTAATATTGAGGAAGGTTTTCCTATTTGATGAAGGGAAATGTAAGATTCAGCCCCTCTCCACATCCCAAAAAGTTTTGTGCAGCCACTTATACGATTAGAACAAATGTTTCTGTGGAAAAAGGCGACAAAGTCCAACCTCGACAAATACATGAAAAGTAGTTATTAGTGTTCTTAAGTACTCGTACCACCTAAATGTACTTAATGAGGAAAATAACAGTTGATGTTTAATGCTTAATGGTATTCATTAAAGTAATTTTCAGCTTGTCAGCGAACCATTGTCACTTCTTTCATTTTTAATAGCATGTGTACTCAGATGCTGTTACTTACAGCATGCATACTGTAGTGGGAGGTTCCCCACACATGCTGCAGCAGCAGCAGTAACCCAATGCCTCGGAATTGAATGACAAATTAACTTCATTACATGTTACCGATATGATTAGTGCTACAGTACCCTAAGATTCAACATCAACACTTTCCCTTGAACCGTGCTCATGATGAGCTGTTCATCCACAGAGCTGAGTTTGTTCTGCATCAAACTTTCTTTAAGATAATTCAAAGAATCACTGGTTCTCCTCTTTTGAACTTTGACTTTTTGCATCCTGGTGGAGGTGGAAAGGAGAAAAGAAGGTGGAGAAGGAGCTGGGGCGTTGCAGGTTCTCGGTCAAGATAGGATTTCTTCACCTCACGCTCATGAATAATTGAGCCTGGGAGGCTGCGGCTCACCTGGACAGAGCCACACGAGAAAAGGAAGAAGTGTCTGAAGTGACGGCGGACCCAAAAAAGAAGAGCCGAGGACGAGGGAGGAGGAAGAAAGAAGCTGTCAGAGTATGGAGGAGGTGGTGAAGAAACGGCCGATTATCTCTGCAAGAGAAAGAGGTCAGTCTGAGAAATGTGTGTGCCTGCGTGTGAGGCTGTGTGTGTGTGTGTGTGTGTGTGTGTGTGTGTGTGTGTGTGTGTGTGTGTGTGTGTTGTACATCCACATGGATTGTATTATAGCCTAACTGTTTTTGCTCTGAAATCTCTCACAGCATTATACAGTCATTGCTCCATACTTGTTTGAGATTTCGACTTTGTTTAGAATTCATTCCCAAACAAGCGGAGGAAGAACGTTAAAATGCATAACCATAGAAAATAAGTCAAAGAGCTCCATATGGAAATCATCAGCAACGATGCAGCCGGAGCCAAAGAGCGGCGGGTGTGCTATACTGCTGCTAGGAGCCCAATCTGTTGCATCATTTTCATCAGTGTTCTCCTCCTGGTTGTCAGGCCCAGGCCCTGGACGCTACGCTCTGCCCCCTACAGTCGGATACATGAACCATGACTTCACCAAACCCAGCAGCCCGGCGTACTCCTTCCACAGCCGCATGAGCAGCGCCAGTGAGTTCTCACATGTCAGGCTGCAAATCTCACCGAAAACTATGTTTAATCAATACGATGGTCAACAGGGGCCTAGTTTAGAGCCTAAAAGTCAAATGTTAGCATTATAGTGTCTTAAAAAGCTTTTATGAAACGATTTCATATTGATTATCGATGACAAACTGGATGGTTTATGGATTTTGTTTTCTGTAGTGGTCTCTGTGGACTCCAGCCCAGGACCAAGGTACCACATCGATGCCAAAGTCACCCGGTTTGGCCGCATGGAGACGCCGTCCTACTCCATTTTGGGAAGAGGAAGGCTAATAGGGAATAAAGGTGAGGTAATTGAAACACATTGTCCAAAAAAAGAAACTCCATCCTGATCCAGGTAACTCAGAAGGTTCTTGCTTTAACCCTTTATAGCAGGGGTGTCGAACTCTGGTCCTCAAGGGCCACAATCCTGCATGTTTTAGATGTGTCCCTCTTCCAACACATCTGATTCAAATGATCAGCTCATCATCAAGCTCTGTAGAAGTCTGATAACCATCCTGATCATTTGAATCAGGTGTGTTGGAAGAGAGAAACATCTAAAACATGCAGGATTGCGGCCTTCGAGGACCAGGATTGGACACCCCTGCTTTAAAGGGCACTCCTTGTAATACTTGGAAAAGGAAAAATTTCAACCCT